CAATTGCTTGAATTAATAATTCACTGCAACACAGTACCAATTTATTCCGTAAATCCATAAGTAGTTGTTGATGAACACGTATTATGTTTTGAATAGTGTCAAGATTTAAAGTCATTAAATCAAATTTATATTGTGTAATTGTTTTTGAATAATTTGATACCAAACTAGCACGTCGATCTTTATCAAGAACTTGGTTTGAAAGCATCAGTTGGACATAGTCCATGGATCGATTAATCGTTTTATCATATGCACTTGGTAATCGTCGTAAGAAAATTCTTTTACGGAGAATTTCTTCTTGTGCTTTTGTTTTTAATATACTTACTGTTGTTTGCCAGATTTGTTTTGCTAGTTGTATCTAAAGTTGAAAAGAATATACACGTGGAAACATCCAATATGCTGTTTAAACAAGCCTGTTCTTCATTTGGTTTTAAGTCATAAAATTTTGTAATTAACTTACGATCATTTGAATCTAATGCTAACATTTTCTTTTTATAATCAAATTCTTGTCTTAATTGTTGTTGAGCACTTTTCACACATTCATTTATAGCATTGAATAAAATAGCTGGATGAATGTATGGCTGCCAATGTTTGACATTTTGTTCTGATTGTAATATATATTGTTGTAATTCATTTATTGTACGTTGAAATTGTTGTGTGATGGTTTGTAGACGTTGTTCAACTATATGTTTAGGAAACCCATATGTACGACATGTATAATGTTGTTTAACAAAACATTTTGATACTCGTGGTGCCCATTTATTTTCTTTTATGTCAAGATCAAAATAATCTTGCCAGAGTTGACGTTGTAAATCGAAATAATATAAATTATTTGTTGTTTCAGTCATTTGACGAACAAATTGAAGTTTTTCATTGGTATTTAAACGTTGAACAATTGTATTACCATCTTCTATTGAATTTGATAACATTCTTCTAAATATTTTATCAGAAACTTTTAAATAACTTGGTTTAAATAGTTTGACATAGTTGATTGATAATAATTCATTGTCTTCTTTTTGCTTTTTTTGTTGTTGTTGTACTTTTTCATTAGCATCAGTGACTACATTCGATATTTCGTTATTCGATG